GGACTGAAATTGGTAATTAAAGGTCTCCCAACAAAGAAAAGCCCTAGGCCAGATGGCTTCACTACTGAACCAAGTGTTTCAAGAACTTACCCCAATCCTGCACAAGCAATTCCAAACAATAGAAAGAGATACAATCCTTCCAAATCCTTTCTATGAAGCCAATATCACCTTAATATCAAAGACAGATAGAGACACAACAGAAAAAGAGAACTAGAGACAAATATCCTTGATGAACACAGACGCAAAGATCCCCAGCAAAAGACTAACCAACAGGATCAAACATTGCATCAGACAGATTATTCACACAAACCAGATGGGATTCATCTCTGGCATGCAGAGTTGGTTCAACATTTGCAAATCAATAAATGTGATACATCACATCAACAAATTAAATAAAAACCATATGATTATCTCAATAGATGCAGAGTACACATTTGATGAAATCAAACAGCACTTCATGCTAAAAACCGTGCCCAGCATAGGCATAGAAGGAACAAGCAAAACAACATGCAAAATCAACGTGGTTTCAATAAAAAATCCCAACAACAAGAGAAGAAGATGCAAAAGTTCATCTGGAAACATCTACAAGAAAGCATGAATACCCAAAGTGATCCTGAAGAATAAAAATCAAGCTGGAGGAATCACAATTCCAGACTTCAAAGCATACTATAGGGCTTTAGTCATTAAAACAGTCTGGTACTGTACTGGTACAGAAGCAGAAGATCAATGGAATAGAATAGAAATACCAGAAGGGAGCCCACATATATATATATACTCCTTTGTAAGAAAATTGAAAACTATCCAGGGGAAAAGCCTGGTTTCTTCAACAAATGCTTTTGTGGAAATTGCATAGCAGCCTGAAGAGGTTAAGAAGCAAGAGCCCCACCTGTCATCTTACACAAAAACCATTCTAAATGCATCAGGAACCTAAATCTGCACCTGGGAACCATCAAATATTAGAGGAATCAGGAAAGACTTGTTGGAAAAGACACCAAAAGCACAGGTAATCAAAGCCAAACTGAACACATGGGACTACATCAAACTATAAGACTTTTGTATAGAAAAGGAAATGTTCTTCATCAAAGTGAAAAAGCAATGAACAGAATGGGAGAAAATCTTTGCACACTACATAACTGACAGGAGACTAATATCCAGAATTTACAAACAGCTTCAGAAACGTAACAACTACAAAACAAACAATGCTGTGAAGAAATGAACAAAGGAAATGAACAGTTTTCAAAGGCACAAATTCAAATAGCTAATAGACATATGAAAAGATGTTCAAGCTCCTTAGTCATCAGGGAGATACAAATGAAAACTATATTGAGATTCCACCTAACTCCAATGAGATTGACATACATTCAGAACTCTAGTAACAACATCTGCTGGTGTGGGTGTGGGGATAAAGGCAGCCTCCTTCACCACTGGCGGTAGTATAGGCTAGTACAACCACTATGGAAGTCAGTATGGTAACTGCTTAGAGAAGTGCAAATAAACCTACAATATGACCCAGCTATCCCACTGCTGGGAATACATCCAAAGGAACTGAAATCTGCAAGTGACAAAGGGATCTGCAGTCCTATATTTACAACAGCACAAGCTACAATAGGAAAAACACAGGAACAATTAAGATGCCTGTCCAAAGAGGAGTGGATAACAAAACTGTGGTACATCTACTCTGTGGAGTATCACTCAGCTATCAAAAAAAGGAAGTTCTACCGTTTGCAACCGAATGGCTGATATAAGGCGATCTTCATACAAATTGTAAGATTAATAGTCCTTTCAATACTGTTTTTCTGAAACCCATGGTTTTGCATATTCTTGTTTTTATTTTCCTTTCTTTAAAATAGTTTCTTCTCTCTTACTAAATTCTTCACTGACTCATAGATCACACAGTAGTATCATTTTTTCCAAGAAGGTTTTTTTGTTTTTCATTTCTTCATCTACACATTGGTTATTTAAGTCCATGTTACTGTAAAATTTTTTATTACTGTTGTTGATTTTGTTTCATTGCTTCTCATTTAAAGGAATGCATAGTAACTGTGTAATAGAGACTATCATATCCAGGCGTGAAAATACAATGCAGTATGCATCTCTACTTCCAAATCAAAGACAATAAAACCATTGGATATATTGACAAAAGGATGTTGAATTCTCTGCCAGTGTCTTGCCTGCAGAGCAGTCGCCTGCTATAGCACTGACATCCCATATGGGTGCCAGTTCCGGTCCCCATGCTGCTCCCTTTCTGACCCAGCTCCTTACTGATGTGACTGGGAAAGCAGCAAAAAGTGACCCATGTAGTTGGAGCCTTGCTCCCATGTGGGAGTCCCAAAAGAAACTCCAGAATCCTGGCTTCAGTCTGGCCCAGCTCCAACCATTGTGGCCATTTGAGGAATGAATATGCAGGTGGAAGATCTCTCTTTCTCTCTACCCCTTTCAAATAAATAAAATAAATTTTAAAAAATAAATATTCCCATTGTCTTATTTCAAAATCCTACTGTTCTGTACTTTTTCTCTGTCAATTTGCTTCCACTGATTCCATTTCCATTAATCTTCCCACCAACTTGTCCCCATTAACAATAACCATCTGCTCTCATTCTCATTAGTTCTCATACATTCGTCAACACCACAATGCATTTCCAAGCCTATCTTCCTGCCTTAGCTGGATTTTCTTCTTCGTAATGGGAAAAAGTCACTTTGTATCTGAGTACAATCTGGGGGTTATATTCAGTTTTAACTTGTGATCTAACTGATTGTGTCTGGCTATTCAGTGGTTTTTCATATGTCGTTTCCATCTAAGTTGCTTTTAAATTAATCATTTCTAAGATTCTAACACATCATTATTTCTCATGTCAAGCTAAGTGCTTTTCTCCCACATCTTAATATTTGTCAAAGATATTATGCAGGGGTTTTTTTTGCAATTGTTCCTAAACCCGGCACAGAAAATAATGGACATATTCTCACTCCACAAAAACAGCTCAGGCTTTTCTATGAGACACCTGTGATTGAAAAGCTTTATCAGTGCCGGAGACAAGTAGCTATGGTACAATAGCCGTGTGCTTTGATGGTCTCAGACACACCCACCCTCATGTCTTCACTGTGGTGCCTTTCACGTGCCTTGTCATGCAAGTGCCAATTTTCATTGGTTAATGAGAACCTAAGGGAGATAGGAGGAAACAATTTAGCTCAATTGGCTATGCTTTTTACAAATAAGAACATGCAGCTTGTTTTTCTTTTTTCTGGATTTCAGACAAAGTAACACTTAGTGGTAACATTGGATAAATCCTACACACAAAGTTATTTAAATTTTTTTTTATTCAACAAACTTACTAGTTGATTTCGAAATACATCATTTACTTCATTGGGGACAAGAGAAATTATTCCAAAACATTCTTAACAGTCCTAAACTGATTTTTATCAGAGCAAAAGGTGAAAAAGGTTAAAGAAAAAACCTACTCAAAAAGATCTTTGTATAATTGAAACTATGCCGCTGGGTTTCTTGGATGCTAAAGAAATTCTTACACACATATATGTATATAATTAACTTAAAATACTCCAGTGTCAAATAACAATTTGATTTTACGCAACATATTATGGTTGTAAGTGGGCTATTTTTAGCTATTTTCAACCAGGGAGCTAGACATCACATTTTTCAATGCTGGCCTACAAATGTGGCTTTGTAGTACAGGAGGAACAAGTGTGCCTTCCCGCCTGCACAGAACGAATGTCAGCTCCCCTGAGCGCCACAGCAACCAGACAGTTCCCTCTCCTTTGATCATCACAGGAAGCCCCTCATGTACTTCTAATCCCTGATACTTCCTAAATCAGGCTCTCTCACATGTATCACATCGCACTTACAGAAGACAAGAAGGACCATAAATGCACAAGCATGATAGTGTGATGGTGTGTGTTTCTGACAATCGTACCTTTGCTTCTCACGACATCTATTCATTCGTCGTGCACCAATGGGCAGATATTTAACATCCCTGAGCCTTAATGTTCTCTTCTACAAAACGGAATTGATAACAATTCCTTCACAGGGTACTGTGCAGATGAGAAGACTGCAAGCACCTAGCATACAGAGGCACTTAATGAGAAGATGCTTCCCCCTTCCTCTATTCTAGCGTAGCATTCACAGGCCAAGCCTGCACGACAGCTGGTTGGAATGCTGGTCTCTTGGTAGGCTGCGCAGTTCTGAAGGCAAAATCTTCTTCACATGGATACATCCTGTATAACTCAAGGGAACAAATTGTGCATTCTAGAGGCAGAGGAGCTGTGTGCTATATGAACCTGGGGACTGAACCGAGCTTCATTCCAAGGTTGTGAAATAGCGATCTGGGGATTTAGGACGCTTTGGGTAACATATTTCTTTTCATGATCTGTGGCTTAGGCCACACTGGCTGAGAGAGTACACTGTGTTTTAAACCAGGCTGCACAAAATGCAACTAATTTCCTCCCTTCTTTGGCATCTCATCGGAATACAGTATCATTTTTCCATATCTCACTGTAGAAACCGCTTCAGGAGCACCAACCTTATCTGGAAAGAGATGAAACTAAATGCACAACACTACACTAGAAAAACAAGATGCTTTGCTGAAAACAGCAGTCAAGGAGACGTGGGTCATCCCTGACCATATAGGAAACCTTGAGGAAGCAACTCGTGCTTATTAAGCCTCAATTAAAACAGAAAATGTGACTTTGGTTGAGGGTTTTTGGGCAGATCAGGAAAAGGATGCCCTGGACCAGACTTTGACCAGGTGAGGCAGCATGCAGACACAAAGTACACAAAGCCACTCCATTTTAGCTGTGCTGACCTCCCCTCTGTCACCATCCAGGCTCCCACTCTGTTTTAGTAACTGACTCTGATTTTCACATTTTAGTACAACTCAGCAGGAAAGCAGTGTGTGTGTGTGTGTATGTGTGCGCACACACGCGTGCGCGTGAACACACATAGGAACTCACACATTCATGAAATTCACATACTTCTCTGTATTTTCTTCTGTATGTCAAGGGGCTACAAAGGCAGAATACTGCCATGAATCTGTAGCATTTGTAGACCAGAGCAAATGGCTTTTGGTACCTGCAGCCAACAGGAACTGTATTCATTCTCTTCCTATCTGATTCCAGACCAGCACTGCATAGCCAATTGTTTGGGGCTTTTTCTCATGTGCCAGACACCATTTCTTAAGCACAATATTTCAAGGACATAGCCCAGTCAAAATAATCAGTCATGCTCTAGATGAATGGGAACAGGTTAAGGAAGAGTCCTCGGCCGCTATCCTTTCTGCTCCAGATCAATCATTGTTTCTAGGTCATTTGGCCAACATCAACCTAGGTTTCTTAAAAACTGGAAGCAAGAGGGGGCACATTTGCTAGCTACTGACTGCATATGGAAGATCGAACTTTCCCAAACTTCTGGAAGAAATCATCTTGCGCCCGAGCCAGGGCATCTTCATCAATGTACACGGCTGGCCTCCTGGCCATGAGGAAGTACTGCACCTTCCTGGAGTTCCAGCCCATCACGTACTGCAGCCAGCCACAGACGGCGGCAGTGGAGCGGCCCACCCCAGCGTTGCAGTGCACATACACGGTGTGTCCGTTCTCCAGCAGGGCATGAAGGAGACACACAGCCTGGGGCAGCATCTGCACTCGGCCTAGGATGGAGAAAGAACAGGATCAACAGGTGCATGAGGAGACCACCCCTGGAACTGCCGGCTCATCCGCCAGCACACAGACCAACCCCAGGGCCAGGCACGGGGTGAGCCCAGGACATGAGCATTTGCTCCATTACTCTGTCATGAAGGGGAAAAGTTAAGGTGGTTTGAGAGGCAACGCTGTGTTCCAAATCTTCCCCGGGCATCATTGCTCCCTTGAGTGACTCTCTGATGCTCATCTCCCTGCACAGAAATGCCAACTGGCACTGGATGCTTACAGAAATCACCAGGGGCTGCAGAGAATATAGAAAGATTGTCAGATCTTGTCATCTGAATTTCATTTAAACTGAATTAAAAACCTTCAAAAAACAGTAAAACCAAGAATTAGAACACACTGGCTAAGAAAAATTTGAAATGAATTTTAATATGATCCAGTGGGATGGCTAACTTCTTAGCTAACATTGGAGCTAACTGATAACTCATTTTTTCCAGCTACAATACAATGACTGAATCTCTACGTTAGTTGATAATTGTGATTATAATAATTATGATTATGGTAATCACTGCTTTATGACTCTCATTTTGATTGCTAGATTATTCAAATGCTTTCCCATTCATAGAAAGTGTGCCATGCCCTGCTGAGTCCGATTGCCTCTGCCCTTCTCTTCTTGTGGGCAAGAATAGGGCACCCAACCCCAGTCATCTCTCTGTACATCTGAATGCCTGGCATTTCTTTTGCTGCCCTCAATCTTAGTACAGAGATACTGAGGAATTGGCTGTTTGAGTGTCTGTTGCAATATTTTTTTTTCAAGGAAAGGGGTGATAATCAGGGTAAATGCTGCAAGAGAAAGAAGGAAACTCTGCAGAGTCCTGGATTGTAACCACATGCTTTCGACATGGCATTTCCTGGCTCTGTTCTCAGTCACACAAGGACAGCTGGCCTCAGAATGTCCCTCCAAGGACCCCACAGAAGGGCCTTATGTGCCTTATTCTTGCCATTCTAGTTGGATTCTGAAATGACAGGACACGCCTCTCCACTGTGTGAAGTCATCTGTGAATTTTCACTGAGATCCACCATTCTTACATGAGAGCCATTCAGGTCAGTTTGGGTCTCCCTCTGGATACCCTCTCTTCAAACGCAGTGTTCCTTCAGAGCGAACTCACACTGAGGTCAGGTATCATCTCCTTAGAAGGACAGTTTCCTTTATAGTGCCTTTTAGGCATGGCATCTGCTTGTCTACCCCGTGCTCTGAGAGAAGCAAGTACACCCCTAGGAACTTGGCTAATACTCTAGTCTTGCTGTCAGGGCTAGAGTTAAAGCTACAGGTAGGGCATGCTTGGTGACTCCTCAGCACCCACCACACTCTTATACCCAGTGTCTCAATCATGCTTTCTGCCTGGTCCCTCAGAACATCTGAATCCCAGCCACAGCAACTCCTTTTCAGTTTAACCCCACACAGACCAAACAGCCATGAATTGAATTCCTTTAAATCTCCAGACCTGGTTACTGGGCTCTCTGAGGTTAGGGTGAAGCAGGCCTTCCACGCCAATACCCTCATGCTGGCATAGAGGTCATAAAACAACACCAAAGAGGCAACAAGGTGTGAGCATGAGACCTGCCAGTGATGTGTTTCGTGGCCAGTGTTAGGAAAAGCACTGGGTAGTGGGTCCACCATTTGAGTTGGGGAACAGAAGATGCAAAAGCTCCAAGGAATATTTGATTGTCACTTCTGAGAAAGATGAAGCTTCCTGGACCACAGCATGTTTAGTCTGAGTAGGGACTGTAGGAGGCTTGTTCAAAGAACACTGTGTGGGAAGAGAACTCTACTGATAATGCTGAGTAGAGCGGGTTCTTGCTTCTTCCTCCACATCAAGGATCACCTGACACATTCCATTCTATGGATGCCTCTACCAACATCCTTGGCAGGAAATAAATAAGAATATTTTTAATGTGGCTTTTGCCACAAGCCAAACACATGGAAAGACTGCAGTTGACACCTATAGTAGGAACTGCTGGATTTAGCATCCCAGCCCCAAGTGCTCAGCCCTCCAGCCACAGTATAGCCAGACTGCCAAAGACAGCTAGCACGAAACTGCTCATGACCCATTCAGACTTGTTCTCCAGACAGAGGTTTCCCAAGGACATAGCAGATGATACAGTCCCTTCTCTCATTTTTTATCCATAATAGACTCTCCAAGACTCAGGTACACAGCTTAGAAGTTGAAAGTGGCTAGGCATTAGTTTTGAGATTCTTTGATCACTGACCTCCCATCCTCCTGCCAGCTATGTGTTAGTGGCCACAGAGAAAGTACCCAAGGCTCTCGCTTCACACAAGTCTGACACATGAGTCCACAGCCCTCTGTGAGCAGATGTCCCCAGGCCGCATGAGGTAAAGGGGCACCAGAGAGGCAGTCTGTCCAAGTGCCCACCCATCTGAGTCGGTGCCGTTGGCTACTCTGAACTCTAATGACTGCAAATCTCCCTCTCCAATGACAGATAATGTTACTGAGCCCCCTTCTACCTGCCAGCCAGTCTCCAGGCCTTTTTCACAAAATAACTAATTTACAGCCACCGAAAACCTCCAAGGTCAGCCCTCCAAAGTCAGCCCCCCTGCTGTCCTCAGTGTGTATCTGAAGCATCTGAAGAGCAGAGTTGTGCCTGCCTGTGTTAATCCCAGGTGGACACTGCACTCCCACCTGTTGGTCCCCAAAGTCTCTGTGTTTGACTCCTACATTTTAGTCCTTTCCTGACCAGCCTGGTCACTGGCACGTTCCAGTTTCCATCTTATCAGCGTGAGGTTTGTTTTGTTTTGTTTTTAAGATTTATTTATTTTTCTTGCAAAGTCGGATATACAAAGAGGAGGAAAGACAGAGAGGAAGATCTTCCATCCAATGATTCACTCCTTAATTGACTGCAACGGCCGGTGCTATGCCGATCCAAAGCTAGGAGCCAGGAACTTCCTCCAGGTCTCCCACACAGGTGCAAGATTCCAAGGCTTTGGGCCACCCTCAGCTGCTTTCCCAGGCCACAAGCAGGGAGCTGGATGGCAACCAGGGCTGCCGGGATTAGAACCAGTGCTCATATGGGATCCCGGCGTGTTCAAGGTGAGGCCTGCTAGCAGCTGGGCTACCGCGCCAGGCCCATCAGCGTGAAGGCTAAGTCAGTCCCTCTGCATCCTGCTCACCCGACCGTGCTGTATCCCTCATAACATCATCATCTCCTTAGGGTGACCCCTGTACCTCTGCCCTAGAGGAACTCTACACCCCAGAGGTCTCTCTCTGCTTGAAAGCCCATATGAACAAGGTGAAGCTAAGAGGTAACCCACCACGAAATAAAAATAAGATCCCTGTAAACAAGGCTCATCTTGACATTTCCTGTGAGATAGAATCCGTATCAACTAGAATATCTGATTTGTTTGTTTCCTATAGAGAAGCTTTAAGGAGAATATAATTAGATTAAAACAGATATTACTGTCTTTATCCTTAAGGACAGTAATATCTCAAGACAAGACAGAAATCCAGATTTTTTTAATCATGAAAAATATTCAAAATTGTAACTTGCAAATTCGGAACCACAGGATGTGGTTTAGAACTTGCATTCTTTTTTTTTTTCTCTTTTAACATATTGGTTACTTAATACCATGTCAACTAACTCCATAACGTTATAAATAGTTACTGATGTTATGTTGGGACTTTTAATTGATTGGGATGATACTCTGCTGGCTCTACCTTCAGATCAGAGATGGTCTCCCCAAGAAACCGTTGAACTTATCTGGACAATAAAATGCTGGACTTTATACTTGGTAGATGCTTGCAATGAAAGAATCTCAACTGAATTTGAACTGTGGTAATGCAACAAGATGGAGGAATCCACCAGGAGAGGGGGGTTTGGGGGGGGGGGGAATCCCAGTACCTATAACACTGTGTCACATAATGCGATGTAATCAATAAAAAAATAAATAAATAATTTTTAAAAAATTATAAATTGCAAGAAAGCTGAAATATCTAAACCACGCCGGGTCAAATGAAATGCGTTACTCTCTGTGGTTCTTACTTTGGAATTTAAGACAGATCCTGAGTCTCAGTTGCTCAATAAGCATTCATAGGTGCATGAATGAATACGCAAGAGGAGCATTTGTTGTTTCTCGGCATGTTAAGCTGCCACCTGAAGCCCATATAATGGTTTGAGCCCCAGCTTCTGTGCTTCCAATCCAGCTTACTGCTAATGAAGCTAGGAACGCAGTAGATTGTGTCTCAGGTAACTTGAGCCCCTTCTACCCATGTAGGACACCTGGATGCCAATCCAGGCCGGTGAGTTCAGCCTGGATCCCAGCTGCTGCATGCATCGGAGGAGTGACCCAACAGACGGAAGACCTCGCACTCTCTCACTCCTCCCCCACCTCTGCTCCTCTCCCTGTTCCTCCGCTCCGTCACTGCCTTTCAAACAAATGAATAAATCGTTAAAAACAAAGAAAAAAACCACCACCAAAATGCCATGATGTCTGTTTGACCTGAGATACCACCAGATCCCTCTCCACTAACTCGCGATCCGTGCCTGCTCTAGGTTAATCTGAACCTTCAGACTGAGAGCACCCTGAATGCTGGAGAGAGGGAAGAGTTAAAGCATGCCGCAGGTGCATGAGAAAAACGGGCCTTGGTAAGGGCAGGGATTAAAAGGCCTTAAAATATGCTTTGTATAAAGCTTGACTCAGGAAGAAATAAGTCATTGCACCATTTTCAGCCTTTCTAATACACACACATTATATAAGTATTTATATTTATATAGATTTTATATATTTATGTGTGTGTATGTATTTGCAGGGGCAAATGTATGGCTAAATATATTCACATGGTATTTAAACATAGCTTCTTTCCCACCTTTGGCACATAACAAAGACAAGGTCAATTTAATCTGTAGCATAGCCTTAACTCGGTGATGTTCAAAGCCATTCCATGCTAACTGCCTAATTCGACTGTTCCATTTCTGCAAGATACAAATTACTCTGGCAATTTTCCTAATGCAAGCACTAGCCCTCCTACATCCCAGCTACTACTGTTTACAAGGTTCAAGTCCAGGAGTCTGGCTGGTGGCAGAGCTGAACTCAGCAGGTTGAGCGAGAGGACTAGGAAGGACTGTGACCGAAGAGGCGGAGCTGAGGACTCTACCTGGGGAGGCGAGGACAGACCGTCCATTAAGAAGAGCGGCTCACAGAGGTCAGTGTTCAGTCTGAACCCTTGCTATGCCAGGGAGATCCTTACAGACTTGTTTTGTCCTGTTCCAGGCAGCGCTGGATTTGGGTGATCTTGCTCTCTCAGGTCAAAGACACGAACCAAAAATTGGAGGGAAAAAAAATGAAAAAGAAATCTAAGTCACCTCACCAGCATGTGACAAAGTGCACAAGAGTGAGGATCGAGATAGCCCAATGACTGAAACGGGTCTGTGACGAGGAGCGGTGACGGTCAAGCCTGACACAGTCTCCCTCCTCCGATGCTCTCTGACAGTCATGCAGCAGTTCAACTCACTCCCAATGGATTTTTTTCCCTCTTGAGTTCTAAAACGATTCAGCTGAATTAATCTATAGGTTCGCTGTGGTAATCCTGTGAGCCACACACATTGATCTGATGACCCCACACTCCTCTCCTTGGTCCCACTCCCCCAATACTCACACAGCTACTCTCCTTGGTAAGGATTAACCCCGAGGTTACTCCTACGGGCAAGGCTGAACCCAAGAAACCTTTATTTAGTCTGAGAAGTTGCCTTTTCTCAGCAGAAGCTTTCGTTGACCGTCACCCATGCTGAAGTTCTGTGTCACCATGGAAGTTGCACCACTGCTGTACTAACAGCTACCACCGGGACCTAGTGACCCCAAAAGGCTACAGTGGATCTTGCAGTGGGGGTACAGTTTCTCCTTATGCTTCTACAAACCCTCAGATGTTCCTGCAAATCACCTGTTTGCAGCTGAGTCTTTAGGGGATGGAAAACATTGCACTGACGGTTAGTAGCCCAACTTGTCCCAGCCTTGTCTCCCATACTAACGGAGCCATCTTCTTACGGTCAAAGACACTGAGGTCAAATGCTCTCGTGAAGCCAGTCACAGGAATTGATCAACTTTTCTGAAACCAGAAAAACAAGCTACACATAGTACATACAACCTAGGGTCAACCAGGATTCTAGAGGGCAATTTTTCTCTCCTCCTTAAGAAAAGGAACAGAATACTTAAAGTGAAATTAAGCTTCCTTAGGTCAGGTTGCCAAGAGGAATAATACCAATAATTATCTCAGTTTTCAGGACCAAAAACTGTGCCCCATTCCCCATGACTGTTGAGTTCAGACAAAAACCCACAAAGGGGCAGTGCCTGGCTGCATGGACCACATGCGATGCTAAATGGGACCAAGGTGGCCTCTGTGTTTCGTGACCTGTGATCCCTGAGGTTCTCCGTGCTAGGAAGCACTGGCTCTTGAGAGAGAAAGCCTCACGACATATGGTGTTGCACAGCTCCAGCTGACCATGAACCTGAGGCTCTGAGATGGTGTGAGTAATGCTGCCTGCCACAGTCTGCATCTGGCTGCCGGCTGCCACGCCACGTTTCACTTTGGTCACCTGAACAGGTTGTTTAACTTTGTGCTTCAGTCCCTTTCTCAGCAAAATGAAGATAGCCACATTGTATGCTCAGAGTCTTGTTAAGAGAATTAAATGAGTTAATGCATAAAATTGCTGAGCGGGGATGCATGTATGATGTGAATTTGGGGAAAAGGGCTGTTGCTAGGTATGTTTCCTGGTTGGGGACTCAGTGTTCCTTATTTGCCCAGATTGCCAAATCACACACGCCTTTGGCCAGGGCCATTCCCATAGCTCTCTGCTACCCCCTGCTGGTCTCTGGTTGGTATTATTGGTGTAATTTAATTCTGCTTAGATATTTCATTCCTGTAATAGCCCATACTTCTGTGCCTTAGCCAATGCTGCTTTTTCCACCTCACATGTCTCCCTCCCTCCACACGTGCCTGTCAAGGCCATAACCACCTCAGCTATGAGCCACCTAGGAGCCATGTAGCCTCTCTGCGTTCCTCTTGTCTTGACGTCTTCCTCCTGCCACAGCATGTCATCCTTCTCACCCCCTGCACCCTCTGCGCTCATCCCCTCTGCCCCCCACCCCGTGCTGTACTTACTTTTGTATTTGCTTTACTGCCTCCTACAGTTTGCTCAAAACTATGCCCTCTCTGATCCCGCTTCGCTGGTGCACGCAGCCACACATCCCTGCTCAAAAGGCCAGGCTGTGGAAGGGCCTGTGCAGGAGAGCACGCACTCCCCCGCCCTTCCTGGGCAGCATTGCCCCATATCACCACCCACTCTGTCCAGTCTTCTCGTCCCCTGACAGGCCTCCCTGCTCAGCCTCCCGGCCCATCCTCCATAATGCACAGAGCACTTTGGGAAAAGCAGAAAAATGCACCTCGGCATCTCCCAGCCTTCCAACCTTCCTGCTACGTCACTCTTCTCTAGGAAAGAACTTAAAGTATTTCTTGTCAAATCCTGCAGCACACTCTTCTCTCACACTCTCTTTGGCTGCCACATTTGTCTTTCAGTTCTGGAAAACTCGGTGCTGTCTCCTGCTGAGGAGTTCTTGAGTTAGCCTGGGAAATTCTCTCCCACTTCATTCTTCCTCGGAGTTGCCTTGGTTCTCAAATCAAACATCACTCCCTGAGAAAACCTTCCCTGATGCCATTTGCTTATTCATCTTCTCATGGCAATATCTACATATGTAACAACGACGACGACAAAATTTAACTCAGTTTTAAATTCCTATTTTCTCACTCCCTTCCCTAGCACTCCCATCCCTGTTGGACTACAAGCTTCACAAGGACAGCACCTGTGCCTGTCTTGCTTCACTCTCATACTTCCAGTCACCAGCACAATGCCGCACAGGTAACAGGTACACGATAGACACACTTGATAAATAAAACCCTTAAAAAGCTGCATTAAACACAGAGTCTCGGCCAAGCAACCAAAAGCCACGCATAAACACACTAAACCCACGGCCTTGTATTTACCCCATTTCTGCCTTCCATTTGTTGAACAGTTCATTTGGACAACACCGACAGGCAGACAGCAAAGGTTTCTGTGAAACACATCAAGAGGCTACAGAGTTCTTTTGATCCTTACCTTCTGTGCTCATATCTGGTGTTGGCATCCAGATGTAGACCAAGCCTTCTTCCCTATACAGCTTCATCATGCTGTCGGGACTCATGGGTTCTGAGTAGCGGTTGCACCCCGAGGAGTTCTGGACAATGTCCCATTCAGTCTGGAAATTCATGACAGCTGTAATCCCCAGTTCGTGCTTCAGTTTGATGGTCACATGTTCCACTTGGCGAGGGCAGCTACCCAGCCAGATATTTGGTAGAATTCTAATGAGAACACATGGGGTTAACCATTACTATGGTTCTAATCAGAGATCTAAGAAGCTGCAGAAAACATGTAGTGCTAAAATGCAATTAATCTTTACATCTGGCATAGGAAAAGCTGGATTTCTAAGAATCCGAGACCCAATGTTATTTTTGAAAAGGGGTACTGTTGTTGCTGTTTTGGGGGAAATACATGATTCAATTAGCTAGGATGCCAGAAAAGGGATTTTAGCAAATCAAATCTACCAATATATCAAAATAAGTTTACCTCACTGTGCTCGCTCCATGAATGCGTACATCACAAAGCCCGTCAATATATTTCAAACACTAATTAACCACAGGTGAAAGGTGTTGTATCATTCAGCCTGGAAAACATTGTCTAAAATTCAGCAGTCACTCCTGTTTAGAATGTCATATTTTTAAAAATCACAAAAAGCATAAGACATTGTAAATATGTTAAAGGTCAGAAACCCATAAAGAAAAAATTAATTTCTTCTCGATATAATCAATATCAAGATTCATTCCAGCACTCTCTATATTCCAACTGATGCTTTACAGTAAGAAAATGAAAAAAAATTACTATCAGTAAAAAAAAAAAAGCCTATATTTTCAAGTAACAGGCTGACCCTCTGCTTGCCAGCACCAGGATCCCATGGTGGCACTGGTTCACATCTCAGCTGCTCCACTTCCCACCCAGCTCCTTGCACGTCCTAGGGAAGCAGCATAGGACAGCCCAGTGCCTTTGCCTCCTGCAACCACCGGGAGACCCAGAAAAAAGATCTCGGCTCTGGCTTCAGACTGGTCCAGATACAGCCATTTAAGGGATGAAACCGAGGATGGAAGATCCTGCTCATGCTCTCTCTTTCTCTCTTGCTCTCCCTCTGTGACTCTGCTTTCCCATTAAATTTCTTAAATAACAAAAACAAACAAACAAACAAAAGACCCACTGGACCTTGAAGCTGCATCAAGGAAACCAGTCGCCCTGGAGAGTTGAAGAAGGTTTGTGTTAAGCTGATTTGGACACCACTTGCTACCACACAACAATCTGCCTTGAGATAATACAATGGCTAAAAATGCTGAATATTCACTATAGGAACTGGACATAGGAGCTACACTTTCTTTAAATGTCTTTCCTATTGAGATTATAGCAGTGATTTCACACCAGGGACGATTTTGCCTCCCATGAGATATTTGACAATAATCTATGAAGACATTTTTGATTGTTAAAGTAGTGCTGTTAGAATCTGACAGATTGAGATCGGGACGTTGCTAAGCATCTGCTAAGGCACAGCACAACTCCCCACACCAAAGAATGACCTAGTCCAAAGTGTGAGTAATGCCAAGGTCAAGAAATGAGTGTAGAATAAAAGTGCTACACAACTCTTTCCCATGTGTAGGGAGCGAGGAATGTGTACGAAGAAAAATCAACCAATTGTCTCACGAAGGATTATTTGTCATATTGTTGAAAATAACTACAAGCTACGTCATATTTTGAAATACAAATGCATGTACTAAAAGAGATCTAGAAAGTGGCCAGAACCTATTATTAGATATCTGAAGAGCAGTATTTATTTTGAGGGTGGTATCAAGGAAAAGGCATTGAACACTAGTCAGAAAAAGTGGGTTCAAGTGCCAATTCTATCAAAGTGATTCCAATAACACTTGAAAAGAACCATCTATTGTTAGGCCAAGTTTCTTAACCTCTCCACACTTGTTGTGTCTTCATCTTGATAAACAGTATAAACATAACTAATTCACAGGCATTGTGTAAACAGTCAATACAAATAACTAATGTGTTGAATAGCACTGACAGAAATGAATTAACAATAAACACAGGTGGAGCTTAGATCTAGTTATAATTGACTGTTGGCAGTAATTGAGTCTCCTCTGTGTTGCAATGACTGTTCAGTTAGCCTCCCATTGTTCTGCAGGCCCTTAATTTGAATGAGGCGGAGTACAGAATACCCTACTTTCATATAACATCTAAACATTTTTTCCCTTGGCTTTTGTCTTTGCTGACGAGGAAACAGTCAACTGACTGATCTGCACATGTGAGTGTTACCAATTCTTGATGAGATTATCTCAAAGATCTAACACTATCTAGATCTTGAACGCTACCTACACTACAGAAAAGCAGGATATGCTCCCCGCCCCCCTCTTATTAGGTTCTTTTCAAGGGGATTGTTAGAAACTTCTACACTCACCCACTCCTTCCTTAGGTTCTTTTCAAGGGGATTTTTAGAAACTTCTTCATCAAAATAAACGTGTGGGATTATTGGGGGTGTGGGGGGGAAGTAAAGCAGAGAAGCTGGAAACCCAGGAGAAAGGTAATGACATTGCAAACAGGAGTAAAGCACCCAAGCCTGTTCATCTTACATCCAGTCTGTCAAGATCCTCAGCTAGTCCACTGCATCCAGTAAATCAGCAGAAAGACCAGGTTCCAGGGCCCTTAGAGTGTCCAGGAACTGTGAGTAAACCCTCACACCCTCCAGGCTATCCCCATCTCCTGGTGCCTGCTGAGCGAGAGTACACCCTGCCTCTATCTGGATGATCCATTACCCCTTCAGAACTCCTCATCCAGGAGTCTGAGTGTTGGCTCCAATATTTTGGGGTTCAACAAAAAAGTACCCTATACATGGTTGTAAGCCACTTCACTTACTGGATAATAATGGGCATTTTATTGAAGTGGACTGGTAATGGCAAGTTAAATTTCATATGCTACTCAGAGCATAAATGAGCACCACAACCTTTGAATGTGTAGAACTTAGTATTTAGTTAGTCGATAAACACCAAAATAAAGGGGTTGCTTGATTTTTCACAAAAGATTTGTATAAGAGCTAACGAATACTTCATAGAGATGGACAAACAGTAAGTTGGGACAACAAAGTTGACAAAAAGAAAATCAGAATCTCAAGTTGAAGTCAGTCTATAGGATCACAGGCTCTTTCTAAAGCACTCTATCACTCCTTCACCCTGGTCTTTGAATGCATTTTAAAATGAGACAGAAACTCATAGCCAGCCAAAGGTCAGCACGCCCATACCTGGTATTTGAACATATGCATCTTCCACAATTCATTTCTGATGTAAATGAATCCTTAAAATACATTCTCACATAGACTGATTTCAGTGTCAGGTATCTCCAACTTTTTGATAACATAATGAATTCTTCACAACTAGAAATCAGCAACCACACTTAAGAAATAATCATCAGATGAGTCCGTTCCTTTTTTTGAAAGTAAGATATCTGAACCCAGGAGATAGATAACAAAAGCTAAACTCCAAAAGCAAGCATCTTAGTAAAGGATAGAGAATTAAAGATAAGAATTGTACTGAACAAATAAATGAGTTCTGCTTAATGACACAGCCAAAATGTGTTGTCTGTGCATCCTATTTCAATTCATTCTCTACCAGCAGGTGAAACATTTCTGGTTACGTGATGCACTGGAGATAACAAGAAGTCCGCAGTATTTTCTAAACAGTCATTAAACTTCTACTTACTGTTAAAAAGAGAATGATTTGACACCACTATTTAACTTATCTTACTTTTAATCATTATTCAGTGTCAGTGATACTTTAAACAATTTTAATATTAGGAATTTTTGAGAGAAAATGGAAATATTGAATCTGGATGATAAAAAAAACTTACAGTAAATTAAACTTAATGCAAAAATACAAAGATTCAAAGACATGTTAGTGGAATAATGCTTTGGTTTACAGCTACATTATAAATTACATTGTAAAATCATCAGAAAATTATTTTACTGATAATTCACCATTGGTTACAATACAAAGAAGAGATTTCTGGCAATTTATCCGGAGATCATCTGGAAAAGTCAAAGAGAAACCACTGTACCAAATGGGATCGGACAATAAGACAGAAGTTTCCAAATCCGACCTTTTATTCAAGTCACATGAAACATTTTTACCCAAACATCAATTGTCAGCAATTACCCCAGAGGCACACATCTGGAGAATCCACAATGAGACCTGTGATTCTGCAGACTATCTTTTGTCCATTTAGAAACTACCTTTATTTCATGCCTCGCCATATTCCCCACCAAGACCCTGGTTTTTCTCAATGAGCATATCAGAGAAGCTTAGTACAGAGACCCCAGGAACCCTGCAAAGCAGCTAAAACTTTGCAGATGAGAGGACTTGGCTGGCTCAGTCCTGCAGGCATGCATGCACACTTAAGTGGGTGCCTTTCCTCTAAAATTACTGAAAAAAAAGTTTCAGGACTGCAAATGAATTCTAGACAGAATAAGAAATGGGATGCTATTCTGTTGCGGGAAAAGAATGCGTGCTCTGTTGTTAACTTCAGGGTAAGAAGTTCCTAGAAAGTCAAAGCTAAATCTACTTCTTCACTAATATTTAATAGAATTGTGTGCAGTAAAAATGAGCTTGGTAGGAAAAACAATACATTAACTTGGATTTTTACTCTTTTCGTTACAATTCAACCGAGCTGGATTCAAATAAAATCCATCTGAAGAATACAACGATCATCTAAAGACCACGGAGAGAAATGGATGGCTAACATTCTGGAAACTTACTTATTTGGACTGCAAATCAAAATCAATTTAGTTCATTGGAGTGACTCTGGATTTGTGGTTCCAGGTAATCACATCACAAACCTACATCATTGGTTTCACCTGTCAGTCTGGGCCTGTTGTCCAACAGCTACTGAGCTGTATGAATCAGAGTGGCTTAGCACCTCAGCTGTCAGTTGAAGGAGGCTGCACTGACAATAACAAGCACGTCCTGCTGAATGAGCACTCAAACACTTTGCCAAACCACACACAGGGTGTTGGCAGCAGGAGCTGGTGTGGAAAAGACAAGATATCACAGCAGACAAGTCCATCATCCCTGACGGAACATCAGAGGTTCCATCACTGATGGCTGTGAAAAACGGCAGAATAACCTTTCACGAAAGGTGAAATTAGCATTATTTTGTGTCCACAGGGGGGAAAAATGTTAGAAAATCCACAGGAATGATGAAATCGATG